GGTCCTGCCTCCCAATACTGTTGCATCAGGATTAAGTTTCCCAACTCATGAACTTCGGTGGGCACATAACAGCTTCCAAGTTTGAACCATAGCAGTGTCCAAGATCATTCAGGACTGCAACAAGCCCTGACTGATTTCTTTTCTGGTTTTCTTTTTATGTTACAGGTTTTTTGCCACAAGCTGAGTGCACTCACAAGAGGCAGAGAGAGACAGAGAGAGGGAAAGTGATAAATTACACACACACCAGAAGAATTGCCACATCACTGTCCCTTCTCCTCCATTTCCCTTTTAGGATGTTGAGCATGGAATCCAGTGCCTTACCCACCATACCACCTGCTGGCCCCACCCTGGTTCATTTCTAACATATGGAAATTCTGTAAGTTTCTAAAAAGAACAGAAAGCTTCTCTATATTTAAGCAGCAATTGATCACAACTAGGGAGTCAAAGGGATATTCCATCAATGCAACAATAAAATATCTCCTTTAAATACTGAGATTTCTATGTCCCACATTTATCTATTTCTTCTAGAATTCACACGACCCACACTTTATGATAGTTAAGAGTTTATTTTATAGGGAAGAGTCAAAGGTACTTATAGACATCAACATATGAGGGGAGCTCCTGCAACTCGATTCTACATTATTTGAGGTTATGAACAGCGTCTAGAGGGAGGGGGTTGAATCCTTGAACATGAGCCATTGGTGGTAAATGTGTTGCCCCTGAGGCCTCATTTCACATGGTCTTTCTGCAGGTCCTCTGTTCCAAGTCTTCTAATCTGCTCTCTAATTCTCCCTCCTGTTTGTTCCTATCTTTTACTCCTTCTTCTACCTGTCAGTCTGGTCTCTCTCTAACCTTTTCTACTTTCTCTTTTCCCCATTCTCCTGGTCCTTCACCTGGCCATCCTTTTCGCCCTGTGCCTGTGCTTGTTCCCATTTTTCTGCTTCCATCCCATTGCTCCCAACTTCCTTGTCTAGTTCCTCTACCTGTCTGTCTTTTCCATTAGCCCCATTTAATGCCTTTACTCTCTTTCTTTTGCCGACGAGAGGACACTGTTGCTCCTTTTCCTGTCCAGTACCCAAGCTGGCTTTGACAGAAACTGAACACTTGCTATGGGGTTTTATTTCATTTGAATGCCCCACCTTAAACAATACATCACTCATCTCAATACCTCCTAACATACTCTTCATTTTAGATTTATACAGGGAGAATTCCAAATCCCAGGGCCTTTTGTGCTTTATGGCTTCTATTTGTTCTTTAAAACGCCTCAGATCCTGCTTTAGAGAAGGAGAAATGTTGAAGCAAAACTTAAGCTGAAAGTTTAAGGAGTTCTCTTTTTGCAATAAGTCTAATAAAAACTGCACAGTGAGGGTCATCGCCTCGCTCTTGTTCTCCTTTTCTACCTTCAGCAGCCTTTCCACTTCCTTGCGGGATGCTTCTCCCAGCTGGCTCTGGTCCTCTTTCACCAGGTAGGACATGGCATAAAAAAATTCCTGAAAAGTAATATGGCGGAAGCTGTAGAACTTCTTGATGTCAAGACCCGCTGGGTTATCATAGCTGCTCAGGAATGCGGTGAGGCTGGGGCCATCTAGATTGTGCTTCTTGAGGTCAGCTTCTTCAAATACTAACCTCTGGCACTGGACGCCCTCCACTGCCAAGGAGCATAGACCTCTCAGAATCTTGTGCCGGGAGAGCTCAGAGCAGTCCCCACTATCATTGGGTGGCAGGAAGGTAGTGACATAGGCCATGAAGATGTCAGTGCTGTTACTGGGTGTCTCTGAGGTGGCCTTGTCTCTCTCCTTCTGCTCCTTCAGCCAGGAGCAGACCATCCAGCAGATGCTCGGGAA